CGGGGGCCGAGCTCCCGGCGCCGCCCACGTGCACGCGGCAGCGGGGTGCCCTGCGCCTCGGACACGCCGCGCCTTCTTGATCCTTTCTTCCGTTCCATCCTTGGGGGCGTCGTGGAGCGTGGCCTCCACCAGGTCGGGTTCCCTGTGGGCGGGCACAGTTCGCGTGTGACTTTGTAAAACTCAGCAGCGCACACGATGCTTCTACGCCGAATCGGCGGCATCGGGTTAGCGAACCTGGCCGGGCGACTTTAGGCACCACCTCCGGGATTTAACATTGTCTTCTGAGTGCAGTGGCTCCCCGGACCTTCGATTCCTCAGAACTCTTACCTTTACTCTACGGTGGCGTTCTTTCTTACAGCTTTTCAATCTTGCCTGTACTGTTCATCGAAGACAATATGAATATCGAAAATCTTCCTCTTCCTTCACCCTTTGCAGTTTCAGGGTACTAGCACCCTTAAGGGTACACCCTAAAGAACGTCTATTTCCTTGCTCTGACTCCCCAATTTTACCATCACCGGTGACACACTTGGGAGTAGAAATGGCCACTCTTTAGTCCTAAGGTCCCACTGCCCCATTAAATAGGCCCAGCAAATCTCCCGAGTTATAAAATTCAATACGAGAGTAGTTACCATGTATTGAATTTTCAATGAGTCCCAAAATGTATTTGTACAGCAGAAAAACCCAAGCCACACCTCAGATCAGCGAAATCACAATACATGGGCGCAGACCACAGGTGTCCGTGGATTGGCCCAGCAGTTCTGATGCGCAGATGAGCTTGAGACCCGTGCTAAACGTGGTGTGCACATTTTTTTTTGAGAGGTTTTTGCTATAGGGCGCGTGTGCTCGCCAGACAGACAGAGACATAGAGACACAAAGCAAGAAATCACCCCCCAGGGGGATGGTCACGCCGCAATCCCTTCTCCATTCTCTCGGAATCTTGGGCACGCACACACACGTGCGCCTGGCGTGAGTTTTAAGCCATTGGGTCCGGGACGCGAACCGTGGTCCACTACGTGGGAGTCTAGCGACATAGCCATTACACTAACTGCTGGTTCCCGTGGTGTGCACATTTAAATGTGTGTTATTTCACTTTATCCTCCCCCAGGTCCTAGGAAGCCAGTACCATTGCCATTTTTACACATGAGGAAACTGAAACCAAGAGAGATTGTTCTTTGGGGTTCACAGGAGATTGAGGATGGAACAGAGATTCAGGTTCAGGGTTGATGGCACTGAACTTTTGCATATGCTTTTGTTACTGGATCTCCCCACTTTTGCATATGCTTTCACCATGCCCATCCTCTTCTAAAAGGTGGGGCCAGCAGGTGGCATGGTGTTAAAATGCCTGAGTACCACATGACCAGGGCCAACTGCACGGTTCACATTCTGGACCCACAAGCTTGGAAAGCCGCCAGGCGTATGTGCATCTGTGTCCAGAATCCCAAAAAGAGAACAGAGGAGAAGGGCTTGCTGTGTCCCCTGTCCACCTCTGCCCCAGACCAGACATAACTTCTCTAAGAAAACTAAAACTTAAAAGATGGGAAGAAAAGGGCACGCCGTGCCGCTTTTGTGCTGTTTCCTTGTATGTCAGAGGCCCTGGGAGCCCCGAGCTATTTGAGGAAGCCAGAAGCACAGGAAGCCCCTCTTCCATGGTTTCCTCACAGGTTATAAAAATTCACTTTGTCGGGTATGTTTACTGAACTTCTATCCTTTAAAAGATAATACACTTTGAAAGTCAGATCACACTGGAGGCCTGCCTCACCCCTCACTCCCCTTCTCACTTGGCTTTCTGGCTGTGGCTTGCACGTCTATAAAAGGAACGAAGCCTGCTCTGCTGGCTTCATAAAAAGTGCCATGCCTAGAAGTGCTTCAAAAGTCCCCGCGGAACGCCTGCACGCGTAAGGTGCTTGGGATCACTCCCAAATCGCATGTTTTCTCGTTACTTGAAAATGGACATAGCGCTGGGTGGGAGGATGTCAGAGAACAGTCAGAACGAAAGGTCAGTTGTGGAGACAAGGCTTACCTTTGTGAGGTTTTTTTTTTTAAGATGTAATTATGTATTTATTTAAATTAGAGCGGAGAGATGTGGGACTGAGGGTGGGGCAAAACGCCAGGTCTGGGACTCAGACCACTGTCAGCCATGTGGGAGGCCAGCGCCTTAGGTACCACGCCTCCTGCGACCCCAGCAAGACTCAAGACTCGTGTTTAGAGGACACTGGAGCAGTGAGTAAGGCCTGTGCACGGGCTGGAGAGGAGACAGAAACAACACTGCGGGGCCGGGGAAGCAGATTACCTTAGCCTGTTCACATCTGTTTGGGGAGAGCATTTCTAGTTTAGCTGTGAAACCCCTCATTCCTCTCACCCCCACTTCCCAGGCCAGTCAGGTTCTGACCCTGCACAGCCTGGAGTCCCCTGTCCAGTCGTGCCTCAGCCTGAAGAAACAGATGAAGAGGCTGTAGGGAGGAAGGAGGCAGCCCCACCTCCAGCTTTCTCCGCAAGCGGAGCTTTCAGAAGGATCTTTTTTGAATGCTTCTCATCTTTTGGGAGACCTCAAATTGTCACAGGGCTCCCAGCTATGGTGTCCATTTTGCAGATTTTCTTAGAGCTCTTTAGTGAATTTTAAACTTCTCTCACTCTGAATACCAAGGTGGGAACCACTTCCCTGTGTGACAGCACTCAGTCCTGCCACCAGGACAGACGGAGACCGTCTCTGTCTCTGCCCAGGGGATCCATTTTCAGATCATGGAGACGTGGAACTCTAGGTCCTTAAAGAGGAGAGACAAGCTCTCCTAAGAGGAATCATCACTCATTAGCCCTGTCAGAATTTCGGTTAGGGCCAGCAGGTGGTGTGGTAGTCAAGACAGCTAGATCCCACGTGGCCCACTGTGCAGTGGGAGTCTCGGACAGTGCCTGTCACTCCTAAGTACATGTCTGTTCGGGCCCGTCTTCTGAGTCCCTGCCCTTCACCCCCGGTCAGATCTGCCATGGTCGGGAAGAGACCTTGTTTCCTCCCCGGCCTCTTCCCTCCTGTGTTCCCTAGCAGACATCATCCAGTTGCCTGAGCAAGGAGGCTCAGGGCGATCCGACTTCGTGCCAGTACAGATCTGCGCACATAACTGCCTGCTTTTACAGCCCCTTACTGCATTGTTTCCAGAAGTCTGCATTTCTCCTCCTGCTCTTTCCTGTGTTAACTGTCATATTTCCAGCCACCTAACTGGACAGTCCTGTGTCATCCTTCTGCTTGGAGTGTCGTCACTTTGTTTTTTAATGTATAATTTGCATTTTATTTTTTCCCACAGGACAATTCTTCAGTCCTTAAAGACTCAGCTCCTTGCATGGGCTTTGGCGGAGGGTAAAGCCGCAGGTCTAAATCGGGGTGGGGGTGTTTGGTCCTTCCGAGCTTCACGACATGGGTTCCTGCCTACCTTGCTATGAATGGTGCAACTCACACAGTAACGGAGCTTTGCGTGCAGCTTGGGGAGCACATGGGCATCAAAGATGCTTGCTTCAGACATGTCCCTGATGGCTGCAGCCTCCACTATGTTTCGGGTGGCAAACTTCTCACTAGCCTTGTCCTTGGGACACATCGGGCGCAGTTTACTGCTGCCCGTGGCCATGGCCCTCTTTGGCATGACTTTTGCTCCTTTTTTCCTTCATCATCTTGGAAGTGAGGCTGTGAGAGCAGGAGCATTGTCATCTTTCAGCCCTACCTCAGGTGACACTGCCTCTGGGACCCCCACCCCATGAAAATGAGCAGAGCCAGTCTGCATCTTCGTAGTTGAGTACACATTCGATTCCGACTCCTCCCTGGGGGATACTGTCTGTACCCGTCGTGCCGTAATTTAAAAGTAGGTAAACTTACCACGTGATGATAAAAATCCCGTTACACAATGCGAAACATTTCACTTTCACTTTGCCACTGCACCCGTGCGTTTCTTTTTTTTTCCCCAACTGCTGCCCTCCTCTGCCTCCCCTTCCACTGTCTGGACAGGTAAGTTCTGATGAGGAAGCTGTTTCATCTCCCTTTGAGAATGTCCTTGCAGGTGCGTTTGTACAGGCCACAAGGTGAGGCTGCCCAGACTTGGGCCCAGAAACAGCAAGTGTGTTCCTGGGTTTTACAGGAGCCGCATTAGGTGGCAAAGTGCAACACCTGGTACTTCGATGTCTAATAAAAGTGATGCCTATTCAGTCAGGTGACTGTAGTTTTGGTCCTGCGATTTATAAGACAAAGTATATATGTTAAAATAATCAATCCTGGTCTTTTTGGTTAATAGATAACAAGTTGCTGGAGAAGTCAGATCTGCATTCGGTGCTGGCCCAGAAACTGCAAGCTGAAAAGCATGAGATGCCCAACAGGCACGAGATCAGGTATTTTGAACTAACCTGTATTTTTTGTGTCTCCTTGATTGAAATTTGTCTGGGTTCAGTTGTCACTTTTCTAATTTAAAAACAAACCAAATACAGGACTATTTCTCTGCTCTGGTTTTTGTCAGCTTCTTTCAAATAAGAACTGCTAAAGCCAGTAACTAAAATTGGTTTTAAAAAGTATGCACATTCACAGAAGGCTTATCGTTGGTAAAATGTTCTTGCCTTGAGAAATTTCTTAAGGCAGTCCCACATGGTAATCTGTCAGTTTCTTCTAGTCCGTCAGGGTTCTAAAGCATCTGCAATAAGTAAGTATTCCTGAGCAGCTTTGCATAGATCTCGTTACAGGGCTGACAGGCACAGGCTAGGCGGCTTTCTCCCCAGTACAGGTCTTGCGTCTGTCCAGCTCCCTCCTCCTCGGCGTATTAGGGGGTCGCCAAGTCACATCAGCAGGTCGCGGCAAGCCTTCTTTTTGGCTAAGAGCTTGGTTAGACATACCAGTGTGTGTTAGTAGGACGTGTAAGTAGGTTTGGTTGGGTCACGTGCCTGCGTTCACACTGGAGAACTGACGTGTTCGCCAGGTGGCCTCTGCACGTTTGTGTGCGTTTACTGTGTGTCTTACTGTGCCACGTGAGTGGGCCCATCCTGGAGTCTGATCATCCTTTCTGTATGTTCACCATGTTTACATGTTGAGCTCGGTGGTTTACATGGGAACAGTACCCTTTATTGCTCTAAGATACATATTTTTTGCACTTCAGTTAACATTTAGCACTTGTAAAAAAAAAAATAGCAGTTGTAAAAGCAAAGTAATTAAGGGTTTTTTTTTTTTTTAAAGAGAAATTTGTTGGGCCACCACGTGGTGGTGTGGTTGAGACCCTAGATTACCACATTGACCACAGTTCAAGTCCTGAACCTGGCGGTTTGAAAATCACATTGGACTTAGTGTATGCACCCAGAACCCTGAGAGGAGAATGAGGAAAGGGATTGCAGTGTGGCTTTCTCACTGTCCCACTCTCTCCCCAGCGAGCACACATGCCATATGGCAAAAACCTACTTAATTATTAAAAAAAAAAATTTAAAAAAAAAAGAGTTAAGGCAGTGGATCCCACATGGCCAACTCTGCGGTTCAAGTCCCAAACCTGGTGACTTGAAAGACATGCTGGGCATGTATGTATGTATGCATGCCCAAAATCCTGAGGGAGAGTGAAGGCTAGGGGATTATGGTGACCATCCTGCCTTCCCCCAAAGAGGGGAAGTTAATTTTTAAAAAAAACCCTAACGTGCCTGACTGACCCGAGCCTGCTGTGTGACTGCCTGCTGTCATGCTTCCTCGTGTGGCAGGTGGTCTCCCAGTAAATGACGGAGCCAGAAGCTCCGGAGAACGGGCGACTCGACAGTTCAGGGGGTCTCGCTGCCTGGAGGCCTGCTGCGCCGGTTGAGGTGTCACTTGTAGTGTTCTGGTCGATCTTAGGAGTAGGCGGTGCTATCTCACTCTTTTCATCTCGAGTTAGTCCATTAACCTTAAGAGCAGAGGGTTCCTGTCCGTCCGGACTCTTGGAGGTGATACCCCATACCCTTTACCTGCCAGCCAGACTCGCTCAGGAAGGAAGTGTCAGTAAACACAGGACGGCTCTTTCGGCCGGATTCCATGGGCGCCATCGTCTTCTCGGGGGTCTCCCCTTCTCCACATACGTCATCCATCACGGGTCTGCCACCCCGGGCTGCCTGTTTCTGTTCATGGTATCTTCGCTTCCCACGGATCCGTGGTTCCATTTCCCTCGGTGTCTTGCCCCTTCCCATTTCATTCAGTCACTCAGGCCCCTTGGTTCCTTACCCCGTGGTCTTGTGCATCCGTCCCTTGTCACACGTATCTTTTCACCCCCTGCCCCATTTTGTTTGTCCTCCCGTTCCTGGGCGGTGGCAGGAGACCAATTCACTGAGTAACTGAGAGACTGCGGTGTGCCGAGGCCTTCAGGCCACAGAGATGAGATCCGTGTCAGTTACCAGGCTCCCCCTTCAGTGTTCTCGCCCCTTTGCCCACAGGTTAGTCAGACGCTTCAGCTTGGGAATAGTGTGTTCTAGTAGTTTCTGAGTGTGGCTCCTGGACCAGAGCGTCATCTGGGAAATGGTTAGAGATGCGCGTTCCAGGCCCCACCCTGCCCTGCTCTCTGGAAGCTCTAGGGTGGGGCCTGATGTCCTCTGAACTTGAGCTTCACTGCCTTGTTGCTGCTTCTGGCATTTCTGTCACTTGGGAGCTCGTTAGGAAAGCAGGTCACCTGTGGTAGGCCCAGGAATCTGCTGAGACTTGCCCTGGGTGAGTCTTCATTCACTTGGTGGAGCACTGTCCTGGGCTGTCAGACTTTGAACCTGCTGTGAGTAAATGGAGGTCCTCGGAGGTACTGGCCCTGGGGTGACCTGGACCCTGTTTGCCTTAGCCTCCTGGCACATCTGCTGAGTTCCAGGTCTTCACGCACTCTGAGGCCCTGTTGTTGAGTGCCACCAAATGAACGGCCACCAAAGCCAGATTAAGGTTAAAGGCAGTCTTGATTAGCTGGCCAGCCACTACAGTCTGAGGCTCAAGGGGATGGGGGCCGAGTCAGAACTGTAGCCCCGACTGAAGTTTGAGTAGTCTTTTTATAGGGGGTCAGTTACCAGGGGTTTCTATGCAAGCAGTTACAGAAGCCGAATCAAGCAGGTTAATTTGAGAGGAGTGGGTTTCCATGTAAGCAGTTACATTGCTAAACAAAAGGGTTTGGGGGCTAGTTAGCAAAGACAGTAGCAGGTACAGGATGTGGTCCCGGATATGGCTTTCTGTATGGCTAGCACAAGCTATTTTCTCACGGGAAGAGCAAGCAGGTTTACAGAAGCAGACAGCCATGTTGGGTAAGGGAGCAAAATGGACAAACAGTTGTTCATGTGTAAGAGCTAATAAGCAGCCTTCCACAGTTTAGCAGCTAGCCCTGTGTCCCTACTGCCCAATCTTTGCACACTCCTCCCTGCCTAGCAGACCCTGCTCCCGCCCTCTTCTAAAGCCCCTCCCAGGCTCAGACCAAACTCATGCAGGGAAATCTCTGCCTGGAACGTTGTTGCACTGTTGTTGTTGGGACTTGGGGGTGGTGAAACACCACCCTGCGGGGGAGATGGCCAAGCTTCAACCCCTCTGGACCCTCCTCTTGGGGTTTTGGGCACACATGCACAGACACCTGGCTGCACTCATGGTCGCACCTTTGTTTTCCTTCGTAACATTGGTTTTCATTTCCTAATGTTTTCCCCTAGAATACCAGTGCCTTGGAAGAGGAGCGCACCTTCCATTCACACCTTAGGCTTGTGTGTCCCACATTGCATTAAAATGACATTGGATAAGATACTTTCTAATCGTATGTTCCACTTTCTAATCTTCTATCTTTCACTTCATGTGCTAAGATTGAAGAACTCAGGTTACCTCAAAAGATGAGGGATTTGTTCATGCTCAGATAGGAAGTAAAAGCACACGTAGAGGGCCAGCAGGTGACATGGTGGTTAAGGTGCTGGACTTCACATGGTCGACTGGTTTGAGTCCCAGACCTGGTGGCTTGAAAATCATGCTGGGTGCATGTGTGTGCGTGCCCAAAATCTCAGGAGGAAAAAGGAGAAGAGATTGTGGCGTGGCCATCCCCCCTTGTGGGGGTTGATTTCTAACTTTCTGTCTCTGGTGAGCATATGCACTCTACGGCAAAATCCTAAAAAAAGGAAAGTGCGGGTAGAAGGAGCTACGTGCACTTAGGGGGGCGCATCACGCTTCCGCCTGTCCCCTACCTTCCCGTGGTCGGATGGAGGGGCCTTGCTCCCCCACCTTCAGCCATGGTGTCCTGGGGTTCAGCCATCTTCCTTTTCCCCATCTGCGCACTTTCCCTGGGTGAGGGTTCAGCCCCCAGTACAGCCTGGTGACTCCCCTCTAATCCCAGCAAGCTCCCTCTGATGAACTCTAAGCCCACAGTTTAGTCATCTGCTGCTGTTTTTGAGATAATGTGCAAACCTTTGCCAAAGTTCCCAAAGCCACCTCGACTCTCAGGTGCTCTGAACTTGGTCCCATGATCTGGGGGCATCTGTTGGCTGACACCTTCTACCTGCGAGCTGGAAGCTTGACCTCTTCGTGACATTCAGTTGCTAATACCTGATTCCCACTCAGTCTGGGCACTTGGATGACCACAGTGGAGGTTTTCGAGTCTCCCCTCCTCCTCCTCCTCCTCCAGTCTCATCCATCGCAGGAGGTCATGCCAACCTATTACTGTTGCTCGAGCCGAAAGCCTTGAGTCATCGTCCTTAGCTCCTGTTTGCCATTCACACTCCACATCCAGTTCAAAGGCAGGTCCTGGTCAGCTCTTCAGAATGGATCCAGAATCCAAACCTGTCTCCCGTCTCCACTGCTTCCACCTTGGTCTGAGCCATACCAGTGCCTGCTGTCTGCACCGTGCAGCAGTTCTCACTGGGTCTCAGTTTCTGTCCTGGTCCTACCCCCCACGTTCTGGTCGGAACCCCTAGAGGCTCTTGTTCACAAGCAGTAAGTGCTACAGCCCTGGGAGGCTACCAGCCCAGGGCCTGTGTGTGATCTCCCATCTCCTCCTGACACCTGGCATGGCCCATCACCCTTCCCCAGAATCTAGTATGCACCTCCAGGCCCTGCTGCTGGCTGCTCCCTCTGCTCAGAGTGCCCTTGCCTCGGCTCCATGTGGCCTGACCCTCACTTTCCATTCCCACTTTCTCAGAAGCCCCGCTTCAGGACCAGCAGATGATGTAATGATTGCGTTGCTGGACTCCCACATAGTCGACCATGGTTCAAGTCCTGGACCCGACAACTTAAAGCTCATGCCGGGCACCCATGCGGGCGTGGCCATCCCCCCCGGGGGTGATTTTGCGCTTTCTGTCTCTTGTCTCTCTGGCAAGCAAAGGTACCCTATAGCAAAAATCTCCATATGGTTTAAAAAAAAAAGCTTCAATACCCTCCACCGAACGGGACCCTTCACTGTTTCCTTCCTCCCCTGTTTACTACTCCCGACCTCACACCCATACCTGCTGATTGTCCTGCTGCTCAGCTCATGGTTAGCTGCAGGGGGGCAGAACTTCATGTTCCTGGCTTTACCCCCAGCAGCAAGGGCCCTCCTGGTACTTCATTGGCACGTGTACCTGCTGGGGAGTGCGTGTCAGGACCTCCCCATTCTTCCTGTAACCACCAGCTGTGTCTGGTTTGCCTTGCCATGGCTAAGGTCTCCCACATCCCACTGTGGTGGCTCAGAGCCATGGCTGCTGGAGACGCTGAACTGGTTCATTGGCTGTGCTGGCAAGTATAGCTCTGAAGTTGTGAAGTTACTGCCCCTCTGCCTAATTGGACGGGTTTGGAGTCTGATTTTCTTTCCCTCTCCCTTCCTTTCACGTTCTTTTCACCTGCCTGGCTGGGGTATTTAGTCCAGGACACGACGGGACATGGAGTGATAGTCAGCTACAAGAAATGGCCCAGCTGAGGATGAAGCACCAGGAAGAACTGACTGAGTTGCACAAGAAGCGTGGCGAGGTAAAGATGGCCCCCTTATCTGCCCTCTGCCCTCTTGGGGGTCCTGTGGGGTGGGGGCTCAGCCGCTTCCCACTGGAGTTCACGGTTAGGTTTGGCTCAATATGGAAATGAGAGTGGCAACAAGTAAAAGGAAATTGCAGGCAGTGTGAGGAGGAGGGTGAGCCAGGGAGCAGTCTACCCAGTTCCCAAGCCCCAGATACAGCATGGGAGAGACGGCGGAGGAGCTTAGGGAGCAGGGAAGCTTGCTGCGTGGCCACTGAAGGTCCTGCCGCCTTCTTAACCTTGGGTGCGAAGCTCAGAAACTCCAGCCTTGAACTGTGCTCACCCTGCGTGTGGTCTTACAGCAAAGCTCAGGGTAGAAAAGACAATTTATCATCAGTTCAGCTGGATCGATGGTTTCTTGAGCAGAAGTGAGTCTCCCCAAAAGTAGCTGAGATTAAGGAGTGTCCTCAGCAGGACCCTGGCCACACCTGGGGCACTTCGTCCATCCAGGCCTTCCTCCAGTGAGCAGCAGCAGGTCCCAGGCGCATCCCCCTGGGCTGTCCACCCCTCATGGCCACCAGCTCACTTAGTCTTGGTACCTTTACCCAACCCCACAGCACCTTCACTTTGTTAAAAGTAAAGAGCCACGGCCTGCAGATGGCATGGTGGTTAAGGCACTAGATACCACATGACCTACTTCACAGTTCGAATCCCGGACCCAGCAGCGTAAAAAACATACTGGGGAGTCCAAGTGGAGTGAGTGAACTGGATGGTTGTGTGGTACCTCATTGGAAACTGGTAGCACTTGCAGCATGGGTGACCGACTGGCAGAAGAGCAGAGTGCAGAATTGAAAACAGCTTTTTCACTATTTGACAAGGACGGCGATGGAACCGTAATAACAAAGGAATTGGGAGCTGTGATGAGGTCTCGGCAGAATCCCACAGGAGCAGAATGTCAGGACATGATGAATGCAGTGGTTGCTGATGGGAACGGCTCAGTTGCCTTCCCGGAATTTCTGGCAAGGCTTTATTAATGCGGCAGAACTTCGCCATGTGTTGACAGACCATGGAGAGCAGTGAGCAGATGAAGTGGAGGGAGTGGTCAGGGAAGCAGATATTGATGGTGATGGTCAAGTAAACTGTGAAGAGTTTGTTCAAGTGATGACAGCAAAGTGAATTCATTGTACAGAAGGTGCTACATTTCTGGTACAAAATTGTTTATTTGCCTTTTCTTTGTCTATAACTTACCTATAAAAGGTTTCTCCCTCCTATCAAAAGCTAAGCATGTATAGTAATTGGGACTCATTCCTCCATGCTTTCTTCCTTATCTCACTGTCACCGTCCTGATGAAGTAAAACGTTGAAAGTGGCTTACTCTGGACATGCCTAAGCCCTTCTGCACGGCTAACCTGAGATGGAGCTGGTCCAGTGAGGGAACATCTAGGTTACGCTTTTTTAAGTAGTTTTCTTTAGGAACTGCCAGTATGTTGCTGAAGGGTGGAGTTGCAGTTCTGTGTGGACTGCACACAGTCAACAATTGTACTTAAAGTTGCACTATTGCAAAATGGGTGTGTCACCAGGTGCTCTTCACTGAGTTTTGTACCACTGGTGCTATACCAGAAACATTTTCTTTTATTGTTACTTGCTTTGGGGGAGGGAGGTTTTTGCTATAGGGCTTGTGTGCTCACCAGACAGAGACAGAAAGCGAGAAATCACCCCCCAGGGGGGATGGCCACGCCACAATCCCTTCTCCTCCATTCTCTTCTGGGATCTTGGGCACGCACGCACGCACGCAAACCGCGGTCAACTACATGGGAATCCAGCGACATAGCCATTATACTAACTGCTGGTCCTGTTACTTGCTTTTTTAAGCATTGTTTAGTCACTTAAAGAAAATCTGCTCATGGCACAATTTGCCTCAAATCCATTCCAAGTTGTGTATTTGTTTTCCAACAAAAAAATTACAATTAAATACACACATACTGGGAATGTGTTTGTGTTTGTGCATGTCCAAAATCCTGAGAGGATAGTGAAGGGATTGCAGGCTGGCCATCCCACCCCCGCCAGGGTGATTTCTCACTTTCTCTGTCCCTGTCTCTCTCTGGTGACTGTGCACGCTCTATGGCAAAAATCTAAAAAAAAAAATTTGTCCAAAAAAAAAAGAACCATTAGGTGGTTTCCCAGTGAGATCCAAAGTCACTTGTTCATCAGCGTGTTCTTCTTTATCCCCAGTTAGCGCAGCTGGTGATTGACCTGAATAACCAAATGCAGCAGAAGGACAGGGAGATGCAGATGAATGAAGCAAAGTGAGTAGAGATCACATCTCCGCTGGTCCTGGTCACGTGTCCTGTGTTACTGGGTATTTGTGAGCGGGCCACACCACACTGTGGTGGCCAGTGTCGTTTCGATGCATGCACAGCCTCGAGTCCTTTTCTACTAGTTCTAAGAGAAGAAAGGCAAGGACAGGGCTCTGAGGTCCCTGAGCTCCTGCCGTCCTCCTAGAGAAGTAACCCCAGCCCTTGCCAGTATCCTAGAGGCATTCCCAGTTCTCATGGCCACTGGGAATGGCATCTTCTTGTGTAGGAGGTAGCCGTGTGCATGGCTCTTAGGAGTGAGGGAATGAATTTGTGAGCAGAGAGAGCCTTAGCAGGCAGGATGAATGGGACTCAGTTCTAGGATGTTAGAACTTGGGTTTCCTTAACGTGTTTAGGGGGATCCAGAGCATAGAAAGGTGGGATACTTGTTCAGTCATTCCTGCAAAAACTGCTCAAGCATCGTTAGTGCTGGTGAAGCACAGGATTTCCAGCCTCTTTTAAGTCCTTTTTGCCATTTTATTGAAGTATCAAAAAGTCCTTTCCTGAAAGATACTCTCAGTGGTCGTTCACAGTCAGGATGCCTTTCCTCTCCAGGTAGGATTTCCCTGAAAACCACTGGACTAGGCCTGGCCAAGAGCTGTAATAGACACAGCATTTCACACAGGGCTGGTGTGATAGCTGAGCACACAGTGGAGCACTCAGCCAGGTCCCTCTTGCTCAGGTGCAGGGCTCTGAACCCCTTAGCTGGTGCTGTTCCTCCCAATGTCATGCTTTCAGAATTGCCGAGTGTTTGCAGACGATCTCCGACCTCGAGACGGAGTGCCTGGAACTGCGCAGCAAGCTGCAGGACCTCGAGCGAGCCAACCAGACCCTGAAGGATGAGTACGACGCCCTGCAGATCACGTTCACTGCCTTGGAGGAGAAGCTGAGGAAAACCACTGAGGAGAACCAGGAGCTGGTCACCAGGTGGATGGCCGAGAAAGCCCAGGAAGCCAATCGCCTGAACGCAGAGAATGAAAAGGACTCCAGGTGGGTCATCCAGCCACGGTTTCTGGTTTATTTAAAAAAGAAGAAATGAGCCTGGCTGTGCTAGCCACGGCGGAAGGAAAACTCAGAAGACCCTACTGGAGTGGAGCAGTAGTGGGTGTCAAAGATACTCATTGATAAGGACACTTGTACAGCCGAGCAAAGGGCAGCTGCTCGAGGCCGGCTGGTCCACATCAGTGAAGTTCAGTGTTTAAAGAAGGAGAGCTAATTTCCGAACAGTGTAACTTCAATCAGAATTAATTTTGTGAAGCTGTTCAGACTCATACAAAAATTCTGATCTTGCCAGTAGTGTACAAGAACATTCTAATCCAGTCTCACGTGAATGTGGAATTCCTAAAGGCAGTTCATGGGGGTGTGTTTTAATAACTCCTTATCCTCCTACTAGGATTTACTCTGGAAATTATGATATGGGTTATTGGGAGGTCAATTAATTATCACATTAGGTGATAAGAAAAGTGAGAAATAACCCCCAGGTGGGCATGGCTGTGCCATTGAGCTGTGGTTGGCCATGTGGGAATCTGTGCCTTAACCACTACACTGCCCCAGATTTCAGGTTTCTTACCATTGGGGAACTGAAACAATAAACTAGGAAATAATCTTTTAAAATAAGTGTCCTGGGGTGAGATGGAGGCCCAGTCATAAATCACATTCTGCAAGGCTAGCTCACATAGGAGAGTATGGATTCATGGCCAGAGACCTCCCCAAGTACTCTGGGTACACACATGCCCAGGAACTGAGCCCAGCCAAGGCTGGGGGTGCGTTGCAGCATTGGGACCCTGTTGGAGCCAGCAGGTGGCGTGGAAGGCAGCTGGAGCCCACATGGCCAACTGGGCTGTTTGAGGCACAGACCCAGGAACTTGAAAATCATGCCAGGCACATGTACATGCATGCCCAAAGTCCGAAGAAGAAAATGGAGGAGAAGGGGTTGCAGTGTGGCCGTCGCCCTGGGGGTAATTTCTCACTTTCCCGCGCTCACGTGCTCTCGCTCACTCTGGCGAGAGCACATGCCCTGTAACAGAACTCTAAAAAGATAAAGACCTTATCAGAGGTGCACTCGCTCATGGACTCCCCGCCAGTGCTGTCGTGAGCGAGAGGAAAAGGTGGGCACTCAGACGGATGCACGTGATGCATAGCCTGACGAGCAGGAGTAGGTAGGTCAGTCAGTACCGCAGACGTGGAGAGGAGCCTTTCCCGTTGCTGACAGAATGCGCTCGGTATTTTAATTTGGCCAAAGGACGTGTGTACTCTGGAGAGAGAGCTCATGAGGAAGCCCTCGTGGGGTGGTCATTTCACAGTCCCTTCTCGTTTTCCCCCTGTTTTCTGCATTTTGGGCACGTTCGCACACATGCTTGTGTGTTTTTCAAGCCATTGTGTCTGGGACTCAAACCACACCGGTGGCCATGTGGACTCCAGCCGCCTTAACCACCATGCCACCAGCTGGCCCAGAAAGCACATTTATACCGTCTGCTGAGACGGTGCTTGGGAGTGAGCAGGAGCCTGAAAAGGGTTCCCACTATTGGTCTCACCCTAAGAAAGTAAGAATTTGTTTGAAAATGTTTTGTGATAGCACATTACCATAGTGAAAAATTAGCAGGACAGGGACCAGCAATTAGCATAATGGCTATGTCATTGGACTCCCATGTAGTCCACCGTGGTTCAAGTCCTGGACCCGGAGTGTTAAACTCACACCAGGAGCGTGTGCATGCGTGCCCAAGATCCTGAGAGGAGAATGGAGGAGAAAAGATTGTGGCGTGGCCATCCCCCCAGGGGGTGATTTCTCGCTTTCTGTCTGTCTTTCTGGTGAGCACACATACCAAAAACCTCTTTTAAAAAAAATGAGCAGGACATCCCTCAGGGACCAGTTAAATTGTGATATATTCATACAGTAGATTTTATAAAGTCAATTGCTTGAAATTACAAGGATTATAAAAAACTGCGTGGAAACACTTAGTGACTTGACCAAGTGCCTAAAGTTGACATAGCTGGAAATAGAATGTGCGATCCGGCAGGGCAGCCGTGGTAGCACGTGCTGGGTGCCGCTGCTTGGCTCCCCAGTCCCTGCCCCTCTGCCCGAGGTGCCAAGTGTGGGACATGCGCCTGCAGTCCTGGCTCCTGGAGGCCAAGGCAGAAGGGTGGCAGCATCGTGAGTTTCTGGCCTTAAAACACACACAGACACACTTATACTCAAAACTTTAAAAAAATCCCTACAATACCATCCCAATTTTGTGTGCATTTTTTAAAAGCTTGGAAGGAATCGTACTACTAATGGGGTTTATTTGGGCGTGATGAGGTTGTGGGTTTGGTCATTTTACCATTTTTGTCTTCCCTAACTTCCTGAGGTTTCCATTAAGAAGAAAGGAACTGGCCCTTTTGTCTGCTCTCTGTTTCACATTTACTTTAAGTGACCAAGTTTGGGACTGGCCCCATGGCTTGGTGGTTAAGGGAGCTGGATCCCACACAGCCAGCCTGGTGCCTGTGCATACACGCCCAGAATCCCAACAGGATGGAGAAGCGGAGAGGAGATCGTGGCATGACCGTGCTCCATCAGGGGGTGCTTTCTCCCTGTCACTTTGTCTCTGGCTCTGCCGCTCTCTCTGATGAGTGCAGATGCCCTCTGGCGTTTAAAAAAGTTCAGGGAAAAATGGAATCAAAGTGCGATGCGCTTTTTCCAGCTGCACTCTCATCCCTCGCCGATGTGCTGACGTGGCACCCAGAGGACTTCTGCCTGTTTTCAGAATTATTACTACGGCAGAGGCGTAAGAGATTTCAGCCACAGAATTCTTGGTTGGAGCACAGTGGCGGAGCTGGAGTTCCATGTTGGGGGTCCTCCACGCAGAGATGTAACCGTGTCAGGGAAAAGACACCGGGCTGAGAGAGAAACTAGGTTTCCGAAACGGTGTGGTCCAGGAGAGACAGTGAGACAGTGATTCCGAGAGGGGAGAGTGGGTGAGATGGTTGACCACAGTAACTTGTTGCCACAGCCACGACTTCTGGGTTCGACCTTAATGAATTGCAGCTCTGCCTTAAACAGTGCCAGGTATGAGTTAGTCCAAGCAAGTCTTCACGGTGTCGTTCGTGCAGTGGGTCTGTTAGCATAAGCCTGATCGCTGCAGATAACTGAAGTCACAAGCACGAGTTACCCACGACGAGCCTGAAGGCCTTTCTGTCCTGAGAGGCCTCGGGCTCCCCAGGCAGGCCATCTCCCTGCCCCTTCAACACTTCCTCTGTAACAAGATCCAAGGCCCTGCTTGGAACTCTTCACCAGGGGAGCCTGCCTGATGCTCAGTTTGGAGCTTAGGGTGTCTGTGCCCGGCGCAGCTGTCGTTTTTAATGTCCTGGATGGTTCCTCACGTGTGCTGAGAATCGGCGTCATGCGAGCACACCTGGTGCTTGTCTGCAGCAGACCTGAGCAGTGGACTTCTTCCAACAGGAGGCGGCAAGCCCGGCTGCAGAAAGAGCTCGCAGAGGCCGCAAAGGAACCGCTACCAGTGGAACAGTAAGTGGAGACTGAGCCCAAGCTGTGCTCTTAACTGCTTGACCTTTAGAACTAGTTCCCTGATGTTTTATTTTGATAAAACCATTTTTAAAACTTTAGACAACTGTAAAGTTAAAGTGAGAATATAAAAACACATAATTCTACCACCACCCAAAGGTAGCATCCGTATATCATCGTAGTATTTTGATGGCTTCTGGTTTTTCACTAGCAGATAGCAGTACTGAGGACTTACTTGGCATAGGCTCTTGAAGGTAAAATTCTGTGGGTCAGAGCTTTGGGGACCTGTTGTCCCAGTCACCTTCCAAAAAGTCCTTCCTGTTTGCAGCCCGCAGTGACGAGTGAGTGCTGACTTCCTACCCAGCACACATTGCTGCTCTGTTTCCTGTTGACGCTTTGATCACTTTCCGGCCTCTAATTGGACCTGTCATCCTATAATGATGGGCTGGGGTCATTCTCTTTC